ATAAAAGGATCTCGCTTAAAATTAAGTTTATTTTTTGACCCGTGCGGCATCCTCATACCTCACGTATGTACAACATCATGCTCGTCGAGGCCTATGCGGGTGAATGTTGTTCAACATATTATGTGTGATATATTTAAGTGGAAGGCATTTGTATATAATGCAAATATAATCTATCAATGATTGATTGCGATTTAAACCAGATCTTTAGCTACTTATTTCTCTTTAAAAATACCAAATATCGATCGATCAGCCTTTTTTTTTTTTACGCCTACGGAGTAACTTAACCTAGCTATGACGCTCCTCTCATGATCTCCGTGCAAATTGTGTTGGGGAAGTAAAACAAGCAGCGAACACAAACAAAAAGAAAAATATAGTGGAAAAGAAAGAATACCATAATTTAATGAGGAACAATCTAAAACCGATAAAAAATCACGGAGTCGCACCATACTAAGAAATTCATTATGAAAATTAGGAGAAAATTGTACAAATATTTTCTCTCTCATTCTCTCCTTGTCTCTCCTCACCCATTAAATCATTCTCAACTTTAGAACTAACAAAGAGATACAATAAAACCACCAAGTAATGTAATCCTTCATGAAAAACAAAAAGGAAAATTGGTCAACCCGCCTCATAGCACCGCAGCACTTTAGTCTCTATCTCTAGTTTGCCTGACAGCGCAGCGCCGTGGCACTTTGCTCTTTGTCTATCTCCAAGCAAATAATACAACACCGCAACACTCGGGTACACAGCGCTGCAATCATGTATGGTTCACATAAAAAAAACAATAATTTCGTGTGCATAGCACCCGAACCGAAGTAAGGGAGAGGAACCCCTACAACTCCCCCCCCGATGAGCTCTACAGATGGAATTGAGGTTCAAGACAACAATACAACTTTATTGATCGATACAAACAGATTTCACATAAAACTAACAATTAGAATTTTATTTTTCATTGCAATTAAAAATTAGTAGAATTTTATTTTTCATTGCACTTAAAAATTAATCCTGCTTGTTGTTTCTGCTATCTTCAGCCAGTTCTTATTCTGCTCTTCATGCTGTGAATCATACGATTAGCAGCTGGAAAATATGTTGTGAAATTCAGGTCCTTATTTGTCACGACCCGACCCGAGACGGATCCCGCCCCGCACCGGGCCGCGACCAGCTTAACGAACTAACCAGGGGTTGGCTATCAGGATTAGGGGTGTAAGTGAGTCAAACTGATTTGCAAGTCAAGTTGGGCTTAGTTTTATAATTGGCTTGTAAGCCGACCTTGACGAGCTAACAACCCAAATTTGAGGCAGCCCTGACTTGACTCATTAGCTCTCGAGCAGATTTGCTTAAAAATATTAATATAAAATGCACTTAAAATATATTCATATTCATGATTTTAAATACAAAGTTATTGAAAATGTTTAAAAAGATTATCTCTTTTTTTATATTAAATAATTTTTTATTGCATTTCCTTTAATTTCTCTTTCTTTTTATATTTTATTATAATAATTGAATTATAATAATTTTCACTTTCATAATAAATAAGTTGGCTAGTGATCCGAATGAAACTAGTAGAATAAAGCTCGAGCTCAAGCTTAAACTTGATTAATTATCAAGTCAAGCCTCGGGCAAGCCAAGCCCGACCCGACTCGTTTACACACCAAATAGAGATATATTTAGCAAGAAGAATATTCTTCACGACGTTAAGCGTAATTCCGTATTCCAATAGCGGCGTATTCCAATAGGGGTATTTTTGAAAATATGAAATGGAGGATATAGACAAATGTGACCCAACTCATTTCCCACACAAATAATTAGAAAATTTTATTTATTCAATGGACATAAAATTGGCTGATAAATTAATTTGGGAATTTGAAATGTCATCACTCAAATCCTCTCACATGTTTCACCTTCCTCGGCTTTGTCCCCTCCTGCATAAATAACTTAGACCTTGTGGTCTAAACGAATCCAGCTGAATTTGAGTCATCTCTAATTCGAGTTTGGCTTGATTAATTGATCAAGTTCAAATTCAATCTTGAGTTTAATTCTACGACTTTAAGCCGGCTCATTTGAAATGAATGAAAGAAAATTAAATTATTCAAACAATAATTATAAAAAGAATAAGAAACTAGAAAAAAAAATACTAAAGAATCACTTTCTATAAGAATGTGGGATATAATTTTTAAATAATTTTAATAGCTTTATACTTAATTACTAAATTTTAATATATTATTTTATATTAGTATTATGTAAATGATTTATCTCTCGAGCTAACAAGTCTAGTCAAGGTTGAGTCATATTTTGCTCGCTAGCTCATCGAGTTCCGCTCACAAAGAATTTATTGAGCTGAGCTCGAGATGGCTCAACTTACTCGACCCTTATCATAGAATTGGAGTGTATACTTTGGGGATTTACATGCATACAAATCATGGAATTTTTATGAACATATATATCTAGTACTAAAAATTATAACATATTGAGCATGCGGCACTGCACCATCCGGTTGGAGCATCGCAACAATAGGCACTAAAAAATATTATATATATTCTCCACTTAACCCTCAGCTCTCCTCCCCTCTTTTTTTGTTTCTTGTCAAGAAAGGAGCGGAGGAAGGGAAGATGAGAAGGGCGTGAGAAGTGGAGAGAAAAGAGGAGAAAGAGAGAAGAGAAAAAGCTCTCCGGTGGCAGTTTTGTTGATCACTTATGTTACAAATTTTATTCTATTTGATATAAATAACTATACTCTTACTCCTAGGTGTATTCTTATGTAGTTTATAGTGGCTAATTTATATATGCATTTGGATATTTGACTTTGAATCATGATGTAAATATGGAAATATAATTATGTTTATTGATGTTTATATATTTTTTCTTTGCATGAATACAATTAGTTAGCTTTGACTATCAATGGTCTGATTGTTAAAGAATTGAAAAAGATCATTGAATAAAAAGAAAAAAAATAAAATTCTCCCACTATAGATTTCGTGGCGTGACACACCAGCCTTATAATAGCTCAATTGAGATAGTCACTCATCCTAAATTTGTTTGTCCTGATACTTTATTTTCCCTAAAATTGATGAATATCAAAAGAACTCACCCTCATCAGGGCACACATTCGGTCATCAGACATCCGGACATCCAATCCATACACGTCACGTCACCCAAATACACTGGGACCCAGTGTATTTTCATGACGTGGTGCGTCTGGATTGGTGTCCGGACGAATCCGAACACCGGACATAATAATTTGCCCTCTACCAGAGGATAATCACCCATTAGCAAGATCCTCACCTATTACAACTAAATAGTTGTAAATAAATTATAATTAGTCTAAAATTTTAAACAATGTATATCAAGTAGAGTCACACTCCTCTTAAGCTAAATAATCACCGATTCCAACCTTGTCCTGATAAATCCCTTTTTTTTATTTCACTCTATCATTCTAATTTATTGTTTATATTTTATACTAAATTTATTTGATACATATGCTTGTGCCAACGCATGCATGACCTAATAAATGCGTACGTACTTCTGAAGAAAAAAAAACAATTTTGTTGGGACCCATTTCCTTAAGAAAATTCAGCTTGTTTTCTTTATGAGAGACACATGCACATGCTTAATGCCACAAATGTCCAGAAGCGTGTGAGACAATGCAACAATTACTTGGTTCTTTATTATTATAAATAGTTGAACATTATGTATAATCTTATTACAAGAACAAAATAGGAGATTTTGCCATTGCTTGCCAATAAATTTGGCCATAAATAAGAGACATTATTGTGTGTGTGAAGTCCGGATCAAAGCTAAGTCAGATCTTTGTGAATGTGAGCAGCAAAAACATAATTATTGTTCAGACGGTTACTACGCTTTTGCTGTGCACACTCACAAAAATCAGACAGTTCTCTGGTTCAGACTCTGCACATAATAATCTCTCCATAAATAATGAAAAAATTATTAGATCCAGAATTCGAATTTCAAAGGCCAATCAAAATATGACATATCATCTAATACATAGTTATGTTTTGGTCTAATACACAATTGTACAATCATGCATTGATGATGTGGCGTAACATCTACATGTTATAATTTCTCATGATAAAAATTAAATATGGCACCAACATTAGCCCATGGAAAAAACTTTGCTTTAGGGGGATATACAAAGATATCGCTTTATATCATACTAATTTTATATATTTAACACTTCAAATTTTATTGTTTTATACCTATCACCTATAGATTAAATATGAATACAAAAAATACAATATTAAAATTCATATTATATGAATGGTATAAATGACATAAAACCCCAATTTATATTTTTCACATTTTTAAAATGTCAAATTTTCTTACATTTCATATTATTCTTTTGTTATAACATATCTAAAACATAATTTTAATATTTACCCATTTAAAACATATTTCACTTAAAGAAAGTTAATATTAATATTATTTTTATATAATTTTAAAATATAACCATTATATAAGTACCAAATTATATATAT